GGATAGATGGATGGATGGATGGATGGATGGATGGATGGTATCGATTCTTCTCCATTCCAAATGTCATTTTGTGCCCCCCCCCCCTCCAACAATTGCTTTTACTTCGTCTATGTGCTTGTTGGATAAGCATTGAAATCAATTAAGCAAAAAAAAAAAGAAATGTAAAGCTTTAGCCAATATTGGAAATAAAAAAAGAAAGCATTAATGATAAATTATTTAAGTAGTCAATGAGTAAAGGTTGTTATTGTGCTAGTTGAACAGATTGAAATATAAAAGATGCATTGATTTGTTTTACATTTACTAAATATAAAGTTTTTTTATTTTTCCATTGCTATTATTCAATAATTATTTAGGAAGAAATAAGCAAACAATTATTATTAATTATTACATTCCTACTAATGTTTGTTTAAAACATGCATAATTTATAGTAATGATATTCATTAGTAATGATGAGTAAAAATTACTATTACATTTATTTGCAGATATGCACAAATTTGTAAAATTCATTAATAATAAATGAGTAAAAATTGTTATTTATGTTAGTTGAGAAGATGCATAAATTCTTAATATTATTCATCAATAGTAACAAAAATTGTAATATAATTTCAAATGCATTGTTTAATTAATCAAAATTATTTCATTTTTTCATTCCATTTCGACATTATTTTTCCTCATTTAAATTTATATTATTTTGAAGAAAAAAAATACATGAATTTTTCTCCTCTTGCAATATATAATTGGAAAAGGATATTGGCAATTTCTTAAGCAAATCATAAGTTAAAATGTACTGAATTTTTCTTTTCTTCAAGAACTATTCAATTTTTAATACAGTCATATGAGGTGATCATTTCCTGTTCAAATCAATTAACTCTTTTCATACAGTACAACCGATTGAATTCGGTTAATTCAGCCAATACTTTTTTCATTAACTTCATAGTTATGAATAATTATATTTGTAATAGCACGAATTCAAGGTTTTTTGAATATTGTATATTCACATTTAGAAAATTTGTCAAATGTAACATTTTTTTTATAAATTTTTTTCTAATGCTATTATCAATTATTACTTATTGATTAATCATTCTCATTTTATTTGTCTACAATTCGTGATGATATTAATTATTAAATGATTAAATCATCTATCATGAAATATTATTTCAAGTGTATTTATAATATTTTAAATATTACCAATGATCATTTGTTTAATGTAATTTATTTCTGCTAATTAAATTTAAGCAGTAATACTTATTGTATGCTCATTTATTTTAATGAAATTTTGAAATTATTTCCTTTTTTTTGAAAATTAATTTTAACAAAATATTTGAATTGTAATACATTTGCATCTAATTGTTCTTTTTTTGCTTTTTTCATTTGAATTTTTTCAACTAAGCGCTTTTGAAAACACGCAAATGAACGTAATTAAAAATTTTCAGTTTTTTGTAATTTTTGGAAGTTTATTGCATGCAACAGCTTAATGTAACCACAATGGTAAGGTTGATAATGAAATGATATGATAATAATGATATGGTTGCTAATGGCATTATATGATGTGACAGTAATGATAATGATAACATTTTGACTATTCATACGAATTTAACTTATGAATTGCTACTGCAAAGATAAAGCATTTCCATTCAAAAGTATTTCATAATTTTCGGAGGGTTTGGTTATGGAATGATATGATAATAATGATATGATTGCTAATGATTGCATCCAGAAATGTTTTATTTCAATTCTTAAAACATTGTTAATTTTTTTTCTTGCAAAAAAGAGACGACTAATTTTCCTGCAATTAATACGAATTATTATTCATGCAAAGCCTATTTTATCCGCTTGCAAATCAAATTTTTTTTTGTTTACAATTATTTAATTAAATACGATAGTAATAACACTATTCATTTCCTATCCAACGATGCCTTCTTTAAAAAGGCTACTTAATTAATTACAACTGTTGATGATAAAATTGGCTTCCTCTGTTTTTTTTTTATTCTCAATGATTCAGAAAAATTTGGATTAAACTGAATACTCACTCTGATCAAATTTCAAAATATAAAATTGCTGAAGAATATAGTGATGTAAAAATGATGGGCTTATATATATATTTGTACAAAGCCTATTCAAATATAATATATTATATAATTCATCATTCTTTTTACGCTTCCAAATTCTCATTTATATTCTCTATGGAATAGAAATTTTAGAACTTGGCATCATTGATAATATCACTAGCGTAAAATTTTAAGCCATCTTTAAAGCATGTACAGAGAAGTGAGCAAAAGAAGTACAGAGAAGTGTTTATTTTACATGAACAATCACTTTTTCCTAATAAAAACATCTTAAATTAAATTATAACTTATCAATATGCATACTTTTAATTGTCTACTATATATACATGCAGAAAATTTTCTCATTAATGAGATGTGCCATTTATTTGAATTGACAATAAATTGTTCGAATTAATAAAAGATGAATAGTAGCAGTATAAAGGGGACCAAAAATAATAGGCAATGATTGAATGAATTGTAAAATGTACTTATTCAAACACTAATAAATTATTGTAAAGTATTTAGTTGTAGAAATTTTAGTGTAAGCGACTCGGACTTACAATATTTATAAATTAATTGGATAAATTTAAGTCTTCAAACACTAATAAATAATTTAAGTCTATCATGATTTAGTATAGTATAGAGGTTGTGAAATTCTAACAGTAGGACTGTATTTTCTGTAATGTTTAGCAATTCTCTTTGTTCTTCTCTGCTAAGTCATTGCCTGTTTCAGCACTCACGTCTAAATTTTACGTAAAGTGAAATTCCATATAAAATGAACTACTTATGCATTTGCTGTTATGACATTCCAGTTAATGCTTTGTCATCAACTTAACAGCTTGCAAATTTTTCGTTAGTAGCGATATACAATATTCGACGCGCTGTTTTACGTCATTTGATGTGCAAGAAGCTTCAAATCGAAATTTATTCGTTAATAAAGGCTTACATCAACTTGACAAATACAATAATCTATCCTGATAATCACTCTCGATGAACTATTGCTGAATTACTTCAAAGTTGCGAAAGCCTTAGGCATAGCCTGGAAATTACTTTCCATAACTATCATGTTACAAAAATTCATCCACAGCACAAATTACTAAGAAATAACAAGAAAATTTAAACAAACTAGTCATGTGTAGCTAACTCAAAAAACAATTAACTGAAAAATAAAAATTATAGAGTAACAGTTCTCTCTTTACCTGCAAAACATAATAGTTACTGTTTATTAGCTTCTCAAAATCAATGCTTAATTACTTGGAAGGCAAACCATTCACTAATTTTACGTTTCAATCAATTTTATGCAACTTACGCAGTGATCGAGAGCCTGAATATAATCGACCATTTCATAATGACATGATTCTTTAGTCTTTCTTTTCGAATTCACACGCTCCGTACATTCATCAAGCAATTTTTTCCATTTCCCCGTTTCAGCTATGCATTCTTCACGGAATTTGATCAGTGAATCTACCACCTCCTCCTCATCAGCAGAAGGTGCTTGAGTTTCAGCCTACAGTGCAATGAATGATTTAAAATTTATAAATGACTATATCCTGTTTAGATGTGTTTGAAATTTTCGGAACTTACAATTTAAATAGGAAAAAAAATTGACTTGAATGGAACTTACCTTATTACTATTTGTCATGACGACGATCTTTATTGCACGACAAATGAATTTGGTTGCCTAAAGTAAATTCATAATCGAAATAAATCACGATAAAACTATTTTAATGCGCAGAAACAAGATAAAAGTTTCACTTTTTCTTCTGCCTAAGCCAATCATCCTACTACCACATGTACTAAACAGAAAACATTCAGAATCACCTCAACAATTCTTTTTTCAATTTCAACTATAAAATGTCGGTAAGGAGAGATATCAGTGAAGAATAAACCAAAAAAAAAACACAAAACATTTGAAAATTTGAAACGATTTATGCTTCACAGAAAGTATCACACAAAATGTTATTGTAAATTAGAACGGAAATTTTACGTGATGAAGTGAAACAACAATGACTGCCCGTGTTTGAAACAAAGGTCCATTTCAAAATTTACAGAAATTATGCCATGAAAATATTAATTAAGAAAATGAAAACTAATCAGACAAGTATTATATTCCAGAAGTAATTATATTAGACAATGAAAAATATTAAAAATACTGAAATTAAAATGTTTTTAATAAACCCATCAAATTATTGATGGAAAGCGATTAATAACAAGGTTCTAAATAAATTAAGACAGCTTAACGAATCACATGAAATTTAAGATCAAAAACAGAAGTGAAATTGAAGAACAAAGTTTTTTATTTACAGAATACAGAGTGCGAATGACAGTGGAATAAATGGCTATGTGCTAAAAAGTAATTTTAATAAATACTAGGATAGAAAAAGCCTTATTCATTATACCATCTTTATCCCCTCCAATTTCCATCTTTGTTTTCATTCTTCCCAACGTAAAAACAATTGCAAAAATCAGCAACACATTTTTTGGACAAAAAAAAAAAAATTATTAGCGTTTATACTTGTTCTCTTATATCGTCAATTTCAACCATTACTCCTTCTTTATTCATAAAGCTGCAGCGAAATATGGCTATTTTTCTTCTCCTTTTAACTGATAAAATAAGTCTTTTTTAACTATAGACCCAATATATGTAGCTGTCGTATCTCGCTAAATCTACGTTGTTCTATCTAATTAGTTAAAAAAATCTGACAATATACTATTGCAAATTGGTGAGCTGTTCAGTACCTCCAGCCACTGATGAAGATATTCTGTCCAAAGTTGATGAGCTCAGAAGGTGTGATCGTAAA